AGGATTCAATTTCCATACGCCCTTAAATACTGTGTTCTCGGCTTGAAGAGAAGATCCGCTGATGAGACCGTAGATATTCCACTCGGGTTCCCAGCCCAGAGCTAGAAAGCCTTTCATTTCCGAGGTTAACAGCAGGCGTTTTCTGGCACCCTCTCCGTGAATGGTCCAGAACATAGGCTTGATGCCAAATCGGTCCCGGGCGGTAATGACACGGCCGTCTCTTTCATCGAAGATGACGAAGGAAAACTCTCCTCGAAGATATTCGAAGAATCCTGGGGCGCCATGGATCTTGTAAAGGGCAATTAGGACTTCACTATCACAGTGGCCTTTGAACCTGTACCCATGCTCCTTGATACATCGCTCTCTAAGGGCGTCATGATCGTATATCTCTCCATTGACAACAGCGTGGATCTTTGCATCGTCGCTATGCATGGGCTGCACACCATCTGGGGACAGATCGTTGATTGCAAGGCGTCTGTGGCCCAAGCCTACGTGTGAAATATTAGGCACTTTTCTCAGTTCGAGGGCCAATCACACATACCTATGGCCCCATCCTCACTGATCCAGATGCCGGACGCATCAGGGCCACGATGAGCGATAGTCTCGAGGCTCTTCTCGAGCTGGCTGCGAAGCGTTTCGGCATTGCTTCTTTCACTGTGAGCATGCTCGGCTTTTCCGTTGGTGCCATTGGTACCATTAGTACCGTTCACTCCATTATCAGAAGCCCCTCTTCTGAGAGTAATAGCCGCCGTTATTCCGCACATAATTCGATCGTGTTTTTGAAGTGACGTGGAGAATTCAACGGTGAAACGAAACAAACAAATTCCGGATTTGCGTTTCTCTGAGAGTCATGAACACGCTAGTTCCGGAACAATCGGCTGTGCTTGTGCGGGGGGATTGTGTGAAAGGCCCGAGGGAAGTCAAATTCAGCTCCTAGACGGCGGGTAATAGGCATACGTAGAAGACTGAATCGTTTGCGTATTCTTGAAAGAAAAGGAGACAACTACGCAGTTCAATGACCGCTTACTAAAACAACTTCGTGATTACATTGCCTCTTTTACCTCATCTTGTCCGAATCCAATGCAACATTGTACGATTGTCCACCGAGGTGTCGCAGGCACCACAGCCAAGCGCATTTGCCCAGAGTCTTGGCTGGTACGATGCCTTCGCCAGAGCGGATAATCATGGAGTGAGACGGGGTAGCTGTTTCTTTTACGTACTTAGTTTTCACTTCGGACGGGCGAAGCGAGGCTCGAGCAGCTGAAGAATCATGCCTAGCATTTGGAAGGCGGGACTGTAAACCTTATTTTAACCAAGGATCTCATCTTGAATGAAGCAAGCGGCCCGCAAAGGAGCCGGGGAGTTAATGACTCTGGCCGAGACGGTCGCTTAGCTCTAGCTGACTCGGTCCCGGTGGAGGGGGGGTCTTAAGCAACGCTACCCCGCTACATGTTTTTAAAGTTTGCAGGGCGCCAGCGCTTCTAGCTAACAGTTGGCCGTTTATCCTGTGACAACTAGCACATCCCTTGTTCTCATGTGCTGAGGATAGCAGCTGGCATTGGTGACATTTCGTCAGCCTGTGACTTCTACCCACGCTGCTACAGTGGGCCTGGGATGGTTAAACGGCAAGTTAAAACATTCTCTTGAAATCGTTCCCCTGTAGGGAAACTCTAGGCGAGGTTGCGGCTGTAAGGCGGAGACATCATCGTTCGAGACCACAGGAACCCAAGAGTATCATCTAAATTTGGGACGAGAGGTCCCGTACTAAACTGAACATCACATATGCGATGGCGGTGAGCGTCGTCAACCGAGACACGTCGTGGTCTTGCTACGCTGACCGAATCCCTGCAATTATCCACAACTCTATTATATTGTGACCCTGTCTTGGCTCACTCAACCGCCATTTTAAGCCGTTTTAGCCTAGCGCCATCGTTCCGGTGCCCCTTCTGGAAGCCTACCAATAGGTGGTGATTAAGATGAAGACAAGCGAAGGCGATCATCAAGTTGCCTGCCGATACCAAGTCCATCTTGCATGGTCTTGGAACGACATTTGACTGCAAGCGCATGGGATGTGGTTTCATCGAAATGCAAAACATCTCTTTGTGATACTTCTGCAATGTGCAAAGAAATGATAACCGGATGTTCTATGAACTTTGACTAGCCAATCCAGAAGCGGTGTACGATTCGTTGTCTGAGTTGCGTTTGCATCTGGTGGGTTACTGAATACACAGAATCTTGGCACTTTGTTCACAGTATCTGGATCAGGTCATACGACGTTTGCAATATATTTTCTCTATCGTGAAAAATAGCTAGACATAAGGGTAGTCAACCAAAACTTGCTTTTGTTCTTGGCAATCTACAACACGACTCTATGGCTCCTAAGCCTCTGGGTGGAGGCGCACCTTGACTCCGTTGTTCAGTGTCAGGGATAAGGTCAGTTGCTCGCGCCATTCAGTCGGATCCAAGTTTTCGATGCCGGAAAAGGCATGCAGCAACCTTGCAACCGTGTAAGACGACTCGGTGAGCGCGAATTTCTGACCAGGGCAAACGCGCGGGCCGCCATTGAAGGGCAGGTACTCCCAGCCAGGACGGAAAGTTTCCCAGCGCTCAGGAATGAATTCTTCAGCATCGGGGCCGAAGAGCTCGGGTCGGCGATGCATCACGAACGTGCTGTATGTGACCACATTGTTCTTGGCAACAAACATGGGAGAACGTCCGTCGGGACCACCCCCAACCGGAATAACGCAGTCCTTGTTCGCCATGCGGCTGTTCGTCGCAATAGGAGGGAAAAGGCGGAGAGCTTGTTGGTGTCAGTAGAAATACCTAGCGATTGAAGCATGGGCCGACTCACTTTCTTGCAAGACAAAACGAAGATACGTCATCTCCTGAACAGCATCGTAGGTAAGGGGCTCGGTGTAATGCTCAAGCACATCAGCTCTGAGCTTTTTCCAAACCTCTGGTTTGCGAGCCAGCATGAAGAATGTGAAAGCAAGAAGTCCTGCGGTTGTGTCGCGCGCTGCGAGCAACATGTTGACGATTTGGTCTCGTAGCATGATGGGGTTGTCCGTGTCCTTGGCCAGCTCGTTGAGGAAGACGTACTTCTGGCGGGTGTACTCGTCCTTCTTCTCGGTAGGGAACATGAGCTCACGCTGTCGAAATTCTAAAGCCTGCTTCACAAATTTGTCGGCGTAGGCATGGACGATGCGGCACGATTCCCTGAACTTGGCATCCCTATGGGCGACCATCAAGTTGCCCAATCGAAGTCGAAGAATGGTACCCTGCTGGGCATAGTCGAGTGCGTGATGGAAAGTGTGTGCGGAATCGGAGGCATTGTCGGACATCAAGCCGACAGACTCTCCAAACAGGTATTCACTGTTAGAGTCGAGAACCTAAATAAGGTTAATGGAATTAGGCTCAGTCGCATCAAGCATCGTGGGCGGAAAAAGACTAACCATGCGGAAAAAAAAGCTGCTGCAAGTCGACAGTGTAGTTCTCGCGAGCAATGAGCTGAATAAGCTGGTCCACGTGCGTCTCAAAAATGCTGAAGTCGGTAACCTGAGCTCGAATGAAGCTCGGCCGAATGAGAGCTCGCTGATGGGCCCAGATCTCATTGTCGGTCGTAAAGATTCCACGCCCGAGGAGAGGTGATGCGCTCTTCCGTCTCAAAGGACCCATTCCGAAATCTTCGAACTGGTTAGAGAGAACAGTCTGGATGAGCCGAGGGTCGCAGGTGTTTATCGTCGTTCTGCAGTATTGTGTAAGTGGATGCGAGTTGATAGAAGACTAGAAACTTACCTGAAGTAGGTGTTTGTGGTAAATGTCTGTCCTTGCTCTGCATGGCGCTTTTTCAACAAAGCAAGGAATCCAAACTTCTTCGCAGCAGCGAGGTTCTGGAGAACGACGTCGGTTCCCAGGAAGGGATCCTTCTGAGGCAGTTTCTTGGGTGGAAGACAGCCATATTCCTTCCTCATACGACGGCGGAGGATGTGTGTAGTAATAATGACATAGAGAGAATACACAACAGTTGCTAGAGACGCAACGAGAGTAATAACAGGCAATAACATGATTAATAACGCGCAGCGTCAAAGATAAAGGCGATGTTCTTATTTGTTGTAAAGCCTTCAGAAAGCTCAGCTTGTCATGGTAAGACAGCCTCAAAGTATCTGCGGAGGATTTCAGGGCATTTATATGGTTTCCCTACTCTTGATACAAGCTCACGACCTCAGCGTTATTCTGTAGCCATCTAGGTACCATCTAGAAGCAGATTCTTTTGATCCTTGGTCCCCACCATAACGGCATCTAATTCCGACCTCTTCGTTTATCCATACGTCAATCCGAATCGTGGACCCAATACTCACATGACGTGTCAGAGCCCGGTTCTGACAACAACATATTGATACCCAAGCCTTACCATACATCTCTCCCCGTCCTGGTCAGCATACCATGCAGCTGGGTCCTTCCGGGATGCTATCAATGTTCCTGGTTGTGAGGCCGTTTGGCATCATCCTGTCCTTCAGTGTTTAATCATACGATGGGAGCCGTTACACTGTGCCAGCATACGCTTCACAACTGGATCTAGCCGCTACCCATGTCATTCGATAAGCACTCTTCCTTGGCAGATCGGCTACACTGCCTCGAACAACTGCGGGATTTCCAAACGGGCAGGAGGACACCACCAAGCGGCAGGGCCGTCCGCCCGACAGGCCGTCCCGGTGAACCTTAAAGTGTGGGTTGACCCGAGCGGTACGATCATCCTGGCGTGACACAGGGCGAGACATTGAGTCTGACAGGAAAGTGTCATTGACATGAGTTGAAGAATACAAAACATAGTACCCGATGTTGTTAAATACAGTTGCTATACTCGGTCTACTCCTAAAGAAAAATTCAACAGCCCATTGACCACAAATTTTGCTTCAGCTTTATCTTCCCTCGAATTCCCGTCTCAAGCCGCTCTGGCCCCAGCTTTCCCACCCGTAACAACACCGAAGTCCCACGATTCCATGTCTGCCCCAATTAAAAAAGTCGTCCTCGCAGGTGTAAGTCATCTAAGCCTCTGCTCGGCGAGCGGACGTTACTTCTAGCCCGGAGCTGACGAGTCCTCTGCTGTTAGGCCAATGGCTTCCTCGGACGTGTGCTTCTTGATGTTCTCTTGAAGTCGGATCTTTTTGAGCTCACCGTTCTTACCCGCGCAGGGTCTGGGCATCAGTTCCCCGCAAACGTTACAGTGAAGGAGGTTGACTACGAGTCAGTACCCAGCATAGAAGCCGCACTCCGCGGTCAGGATGCCCTCGTGTCAGCTCTAGCGTTCCACGCTATCCACATCCAAAAGAATGTGGTTGACGCAGCCTTCAACGCTGGTATTCGTCGTATGATTCCATCTGAGTATGGCAATGATACCAAGAACCCAAAGCTTGCGGCTTTCCCCATTTACCAACCCAAGATTGCCATTCGGAAGTATTTGGATGAGAAGGTTGCTCAGAAACCCTCTTTCTCTTACACCATCATCATGAACGTCTCATTCCTGGCCCCGGGATATGCCCTGAACTTCCTCGTCGACGTCGAGAAGAAGAAGGCTCTCATTAAGGATGGCGGAGATATTCTCTTTAACGCAACGACCATGCCTCACATTGGGCAGGCTGTGATTGGCATCTTTACTCATCTAGAGGAGACTGCCAACCGTCCAGTCAAGATCAGCAGCGTTGAAACCACGCAGAATGAGATTCTCAGCATTGCGAAGACGATTGATCCTGCCGCCGAATGGGATATCAAGCACTGTCGAACGGAAGACTTGGAAAAGACTGCTCTGGAGCGATGGGCCCAGGGTGATCACAGCGAGGAAGTAGTTGAGATGTTCATTAACCGGGCTTTTCTTGGCAAAGGATGGGGTGGTTACTTCCCGGAAACAGACAACACATTGCTTGGTATTGAGCCAATAGGCAGGGAGGGGTTGGAGAAGATCATCAGAACGGCCATGAAAGGTTGAAGTCATGTAGTATTCAGGGGCTCAAACCTGGTGCGGAATTAATCTATCTATTGGCCTCTACGTTATGCGATTACTACTTTACCCGGAAGTCTCATTGGCACGTCGAATTGGTGGGGCGCATACGAGCACGCGAAGTCTTTAGGACATGATCTGAACATGCCATAAAATACCGTACAGTGCTGGGCAGCAAACTCAAACGGAATTTTAGAAGAGATCGAAGCTTAGCGCAGTGTTCTTGCGCATGTTTCGCCGGTGGGCGGCTGAGTCTTCCCTTGTTAAAAGCTTGGTCAAAACGCTCCAGGCTGTGACCAAACCCTACCAGGCCGCTCGCAGCTTTTCTGCATGATGTGATACTGGATCTCTTCTGAAATTATAGCCGACTATTTTCAGCGGAAGGTTTTCTTACGTATCGGGCAATCTTTCCACTCTCATGTCTGGCGTATTCGCCAAGATTTCCGCTCGCAGATCGCAGCTCCGCCCTGGACAGCTCCGGAAGTTTGTGCATGATTTAGTTGCTGAATAATCAGTTGACCAAAGACGATGGGATAATGTGTGTAAGCTTTCATCCCAGTCATCTGATCGGGTTCGTACCGCTCGGCTTTTCCCCAAGGTTCCCTTGTGTTCGTCTACGCCTGCTACATGCGTTATTTCAGGTGAAAAACTGCGGTGTCGATGGTGATCATAGCGTCCTCTCGCTTCCTCAGATTCAGTAATGCTAACGGCAGGCAACTCAACTACTGACGCACCGGAAGGTTATGCATACTTAATAGCCCTGTTGCCATAATGAAGGAAGAGAGCTTGGCCGCTGCCGCGAGTTGCCGAGATGGACAAGAGAACGATTTTGTCTCAGAGCTTCCACATCTCTGCAGTTGTTATTTCTGTTTGACGCCCAAAACAGTGCGGATATACCGTTGCTCCTAATTCCCCGTCCAGCGGGATGATTGATGCATGATGACGTCTGTCAGTTTCCGCATGCAGGGTATTTACTCCCCGGCGTAAACAAGGACTCCGCTGTTAAACCATTATTGACATATGTACCTCCAAAGCATACTCAGACGGAAAACAGTAAATGCATCGTACATCAGTTGTTTACCCCCAATCACCATAACTGTGGCAGAAAGGCTTTTCATGTGGGCAGTCGTAAGAGTGTAAGTCGGTCATCAATATCAGCCCACATGATGAGATGGGCTTCTCCGACCGTTTCTGTCACTAACAAGCAGTGGTAGGTTTCTATCTTACCCAGTCTCCAAAGAAATCTGCTTGGTTCCACCTTGGAAACACTCGGAAATATCTCAAAGACTTCTGCCATAACGTTGCGAAGCTTGGGTGGAAGAAAGTACACAATCCTAAAAGGATAAACTCAGAGTTCTGTGTCATCAGCATTTCGACTCTTTCGAGCCCTTCTGTTGAGTTGGGTCATCGAACTAGGTTCGTTCCGATACCTCCAGACTGACCGGAACCAAGTAAACGTATCTCAAGTACTAGTGTGCATTACACATTCGCCAGGCAATTGACACAATAGGCTCAATGGGCCTCCGAGGGCAGAAATGAATGCAGTGTCTATTAGTCAAAGTTTTGCTGCCATAGCCTAACGCAACGACCCCTGATTGAGTTGGTATAATCATTACAAACAGCATCCCGCCGGCAAGTGCTAAATCCATTCGTGTCCTCAGTCCACGGCGATTCCCTTGTAGTATCTAATGAACTTCCTTGGGTGCATGCTATTTCATGTGACTTTAGGTAGTCGACTATTGAGCACGTTCACACCAACGCCTAACGGCGCCTACCAACCACGGCAGGGTCTTTCGAAACACCTGCTTCGGTGTATGGTGGTGGCATATCGGCTCTTCCTGGCGATGTTGGGCTTTGCGGTGGTACTATGGCGCTCGCTCTTCTGGGAGCTACTGGTGATGCCGGAGCCGCTGGAGTGCTCTCAGCCACGCGTTTCTTTGGGCCTTCAGCTCCCCTCTCGGTCAACATCTGGACGACCTCCCTGTTCCCCACGAGCTTCGCCAACACCAACGGCCTGATCTGTCCCATTTTGTTTGGATCAGCACCAAACTGGAGTAACACCTCCACCAATGGCTGATTGTCCATTTGCAGAGCCTCCAAGAGCGGTACTCTACCCTTATTATCCGCTCCGTTGACGTCAGCGCCATGTTTGAGTAGCATCTTGACGTGTTCGAATCGACCCCGATCGATGGCGTAAAGAAGAAATGTGTCGTCCTTGATTTTCTTGTTCGGATTTCCGCCGTGAGCCAAGAACGTGCGAAGTAAGTCCGTGTTGCCGAGCGTCACAACCAGAGACATGATGGATTCTCCCCAGTTATCGGTCTGGTTCGGGTCGGCTCCTCGATCAAGCAGGGCGCTAACAAGATCTGCCTTGATGCCGTCTTCCATGTCCTTACTCTGCAACATGGTCCAGAGGATGCCTTTTCCCATCAGACCCGTTGCGTTCGGATCGGCACCCCGAGTGAGGAGGATCTTGACCAACTCATAGTTCTTCTTGTGAAGCGCCGAGACGATCATTGTGTCGCCCGTTATGTTGGTGACGTTCGGGTTGGCGCCATGCTCGAGAAGCCAAGCAACAATATCCAGACGGTTCTGACTTAACGCCATGTGCAAGCTTGGTTGGCCCGTTATGTCTCGGGCATTTACATCGGCACCGAATTCTTGGAGAAGCTTCATGTGGGCCAGGCTTCCTTTCTGAACAGCATGGACAAAGATGCTCCGACCACTAATGGCCATCATGTTGGCATCGCAGCCACGAGACAGAAACAGTCTGATGATGTCTAGTTGATCGCTGTTGGCAACTTCGATGAAGAAGGCCTGGCCCGACCAAGATCGCTCTTTCATGTCTGCTCCTTGGCTAATGAGATACTCTGCAATAGGTACGAGCCCGCACTCAGCCGCGTGGAATAGGGGTGGCTTTCGCTTGCCGCTGGCCGAATCTTTCGAGGACTTATCAGCCCCGGCCGAGATTAGAAATTTGACTGCTGTCAGATGATTGGCGCGAATGGCACAGATGAGTGGCGTGTATCCTTCATCGTTCTGGCCATTTATGTTGACTCCTTGCGAAACAAAGCCTTTGAGGTGTCCCATATCACCGTCCTTCGCAGCTTGGCATATGGCAATGACCATTGGCTCGGGCTTCGGTCGCAGACCGGCAGTCATTGCTTTGAAAGAGTTTGACAGCGAAGATAAGAAGTGGCCAGCGGCCTTCTTCTTCCCCTTATCTGGCTTCCCAGACCCGTAGTCTGGGGGCTGCTCGTCTGCTTGTACGCTAACAACCTCTTCCCCAGGCATTCTTGCATCCGTCACCGACTGGCCTGCTTCACCAGAGTTGTCGAGTATGTCACTACGGGTGAGAACAATCTGAGAGGCTTCCACGGCGTTCTCCAACAGTCGGTGGCCGTCGGGGGCCGAGAGCTGAGAGTCTTGCTCGTTCACGGTAGGTCTTCAGAACAGTCTTAGCGGCAGAATTACGAACGAGCAACGTCACAGACTCACATAAGAAGCACCTGGATGAACTGAGTAAACAGGCGAGTGTTCGTCGTGTGATAGTTCTCATACTGGATAACGACATCTGGGTTGATACCGCTTACGTTCCCCGGATCAAGTCTCCGAATCTGCTTGTCGACGATCGCTGCACCATCGGCGCATGGCTGAATGGAGATGGACATGGCATTTCGGAGCCCCGGCGACATGGCCGAGGCATCTGTCAGCGATTGCCGCAGCTGCTCCGTGGTCTGCTTGAACTGGTCGAGCTTCGCAGACAGCGAAATCAGGTGCTGAGCAGCTATGCTTCCCGGATCGATGCCTTTGAGAAGGGTATCAAGCTCCGCAGACGTTGAAAGGGACCGATGGGAGATGTCGTCACAGCTGGACGTCACCGCCGTGGTAGAGAAACCGGACATCGCCATGATTGATTGCGTCGTCGGCCAGCACTCCCGGTTCAATCGACAATGGATATTTTCCCAAATATGGGGCTTGGCACCTCGCTCGGTCGTCGGAGGTGATTTATGGTTAAATCCAAAGACAAGGATACCCGACTCCTCTGGTGATCTATTGTGTGGTGGTGGAATGATGACCCGACTCGGACGTGATTGGGGACTTTTCCTCAATCCAGGCAGGAATTCTGCGCCGCTCTCATGCAGCTCAGCCCCAGAGGACCGGTCCAATCACCACCAAAGGATTCGCTAGCGTCTTGAAGACGCGCGTATGGAACACGAAACCCGCATTCTGTGGCTGGGTAAGGCTGACAAGAGGCCTCTTTCGCAATGAAAAGGGACAGATGTCTTGCCAACGGGATCATTGGGGGCTGTCTGTGAGAGACACGTTGTGGCCGTAGGGCTGCCTCGCCTAGCACCCGTCGCGACAACTTTTGAGGCCCGTGATATCAGACTCAAAGCACAGTCATCAAGTTGTTTTTAACACAAAGAGCGAGCCTGTTGCTAGTCGCGGCACCCGCGTCTTTTCCGTCTTCCGACTTGCTCAACCGGTCTTGGGGCGGGATGACGCTAGGATCCCCGATCGCATGTCGAAGCGTTTGTCTCACATCCTCCATTGCAAGCCTCTTAATACCTTTCCCCAGACTGAATCTATCGCATTCAACGCTTTTTCAGCGCCACTGACCAAATAGACGTCGGTGAGGCTCCCCAAGGGTTCTCCACCAACAATGAGTCAGAGACCCATCCATTCTTAAGCCATTCTATGGTTGCATCCACCAATCAATTGTCTTCGTGGCTCAGTCGGTAGAGCGTTGGTCTCATATTACTCAATATGACTCTGTCTGAAGGCAGGGACATCCAAAGGTCGAGAGTTCGAGCCTCTCCGAGGACATCTTTTTGCCTTCATTGCCGTTGAATCGCGACACTCTATTATCATTTGTTGTCAGCAGGATAACTCCATACTTTTATTTACCGCTCTGCAGCGGTCAAAGTTCGAAATGCGCCTTATCCATAGATCTTCAGCCCTCAGAGCCTTCTCCGGCCACCTTGAGCTGATGTTATCTCCGTAAACGAGTGCTTGGCGCCAATTATTGGATTGCTCCCCGTAATAAACGGTGGGATCTAGAGATCGTCGCGATGAGGCTGGGTTCACTGTGTGACAAGTGGCACGAGCATCTCCCACCGCCCCGCCATGGTTGCCCGGCCCCTGAATGGACCCGGCCGTTATTGAGCCTCAGTCGTGAGGGACTGGAAATGTGCATCCGTAATTGGCAAATACTGATAATTATATGATTTGCATTGGACCAGGGTTCACTGGGCTCGTGCACACAAGGCAGACAAGAAAATTCAGTCGACGGCCACAACCAGGACGAACAGGAGGTCCAACATGGAGCGAAAAGTGACGATCGTGGAGTCGAGCCAAACACTGCCTCGGTGGAAGTCAGCATCTGCGACATCAGGAGAGCAACTGAGACGTGACAACACTTGGCCACAGGGTGAACTTGATGAATCCGCTTTGCTTAGTGATGAAAGGTTGTAAATTTTGTCTTAGGCATCATGACGGCAGTGATGCCTGAAGTCTAGTATTACAAGGATTAATAAAATATCATTATGCTGAAAAGCTATCTCGCCAAGAGATTTTCCCCCATCATCCGAACTTCTTGTCCTCGCTGACCCAATCTGGGCTTGATGGTCCCGTGTACCGTGGCGGCGGTAATTCTACTTGTGATATTTGCAGTGCATCGTCCACCTGCCTGTTCATACCGTGATGCGCAGGTGCAGGTTGTGCTGGATGTGCGGTTGCCATTTGCGGCGTATTTTGTATTGATGATGATGGTTGTGCGTAGTGTTGGTAATGATTGTGGTGTTGCTGTGTTGGTGCCGGCTGGGCAGGGCCGATCGGTGTAGAGTCTGCCTCAACGGCTTGCATGTTGTCTCCTGGAAGTTCGAAGACGGGAGATGTTGCTGAGTTGGAGGGATGGGGCATAGGGGCGGGAACAGGAACAGGCATGGCTTGAGCGTTCCATGTTCCGTTTGGTGGTGATGTTTGGGGGTTCCAGGTGTTGTTCTGGGCTTGGGCATTCCAGGTGAGGTCTCTCGCGGTCGAAGATTGGCCGTTCCAGGTTCCGTTCTGCATTGACGGTGATGATCCATGGGATGTGCCAGGAGGATATTGAGAGACGGGTGACACTCCGTGTCCTCCCCAAGTGCCTGTTGCTCCATTCGATACGGGCGATGGCCATGATCCTGAACCTTGGCCGTGTGTGTTTTGCTGTTGCCAGTGTTGCGGGCTAAGGTTTCCTTGTTGGTATTGTTGTTGGTGTTCGTGTTGATGCCATCCCGGAGTGGCGGCAATCTGCATTGTGCCGGCGGTACCGGGTCGTTGATCGTTGACGTTGTGGTACTGAGTCGTTGCTGCAGCAGTTGCATTGTTTTGAGGCGGCGAGCTCATGGTCGTAAGGCTTGTCGCGCTGGACAAGGCCGCGAACTTTCCACCCGGCCCGGCACCGGCCTCACGCTGCTGCTTCTGTTTCCTCTTGCGGTAGCAAAGGAACGCCAGGATAGCCAGAACGATTGCGATTCCTCCGACGAGACCAGCCGCCAGGGCGGTGTGACCAGGTCCATCACCCGAACTCGAGTCCGACGTGTCGCTGCTGCTGCTTCCCTTTCCAACATTCGTCCCGGTCGGTACCGACTCAATCCCCTTCGTAACCGTTACCGTCACTCCGTTCGCTACGCTCTTGTATGTCGTTAATGGAATGTATGATGTCGTTGATGAGCTTGATGAAGTCGTGGATGTTGAGCTCATTGTTGATGAAGATGACGAACTCGAGCTGCCGGTCGAGAGGAACTCTGCCTGTGAGACACCCAATGGCGTTTTCGAGTCTGTGCAAGACGTCAAAAGCATCTCGTAAACATCGTCCAGCTCGTCGTGATCCGTCGAGGCGACACATGACGCGGTCGATGTCACGAAATTTCCCCCATTACCGCAAAGACAGTGGTTCATTTCGGCCACCGTGTCACCTGTGCAACCGGACGCGTCCGCCGCCTTGTAGAGACATGCTCGCGCTGATGATGGGTATGCGGAAAAGTCATTGGTGAACGCGGCCTGAGCCGTTGACGCGAGGTATGAGATAAGGAGTGACGATGGCGGTAGGATTCGGGTTCGATGCCTCGAGGCCATTTTCGGTCGCTTCATTCGACGCACGGCGCGCCGAAAACCTTTGTTTGTTTCTCTAGCAGGACGACGACGCCTTGACCAAGTCTCTTCCCAACATTGGATGTTTCCCTCGAATATGATTTTCTCGTGACACGTTTACCGGCGGGATGGCTGTGCTGCTCAGGTCGACTGACGATATGGGACGAAGAAAGAGTTTTAGGTAGGCCAGTGTGGAGGAGGGGGCACGGGGACTACACTACTTGAAAAGGGACCAACGTCTTTCCCTCTGCTGCCGGACTGGAGATGGCACGGTTCACTTGGCCAGCACCAGGTACGTGTATTGATAAAGATCCTTGAACCTCCAGTTCTCCTCTCAGCCCAAAGGGGAGAAGACCCGGAGAGTCGGCCAGTGCGGGATTAGGGGCACTTTTGACCCAGTGACCGGAGGGACCAACCTGGCTCATCCGCGTTCCGTTGACGTCTGTCGTGATCGCAGTCTCCTGTGGCTTGTTAGCCAGGGGAAATTCCAAAATGTGTGGGGGCCTGCATGATCCCCGACTCCCGGTTGAAACCAGAACCCTGGTCGAGATACGAGTCAGGCACCAAGAGGAGATTGGTTCTTGTCATGGATTGATGGCAGTGAGTGGTTCCACTTGCCGGTTATTAAAGTTTGATTTTACTTTATGCGCTGGTTGGTGATCGTCTCTCTTATATTGAAGCGTATGCCGTCGTGCCTTGGACGCCCGTACATAAAGAAACCCGCGAGAACATCGCGAATTGGCGTTGTGATGTGGTGTGATTTTGCCGTCCATGTGCGCCTCGGGACTTTGCTCACGATTGCAGTCGACCGATGTCCCGAATCGGGCCAAGCCACAGATGACGCCCTGGTCATCATCCCTGAATGTCAAGCCCTGGGTATGTTGGCAGCCAAGACGTCTCCCACAAGCCGACCGTGCCGACCAGGGGCCCACGGCGATGCCGGCCTCTCACGGCCGCCGACGGAGCGGCTGTGCCGACGGGATACGAGCATCCCTTGGCTTCGAGCCGTCAGTTCCCCAGAATCTTATCACGATGAAATATGCTCGTTCTCGCACTCGATCAGTTGACAGACGCTGGTCTGATTCGATGGTCACGGATCCCCAGTGACGCACGCTGCCAGGCACGCGTAGGCCCAATGCAACGGCCGCGTACAAACGTTAACGCGTCGGAACTTCGCCTATTGTCGACTGAGCCTCCTTGCGCAACTCCCGCCGTTGCATCCTTACGATACGGTGAACGCAAGCTTTTCCTTCGACTCAAGGAACAACCAACGAACCGTGCTTCGGCCCACAATAGGCAAAACGGTCATGTGGGTACCTTAACTCCCGTGGAGGCATCAAAAAATTGTGCCCTAAGCATCACTATGGCGTCAAGCACAACTCGAGGCTCAATGCGCCGAACAGCAAAAATTGAACTTGACCAGCCTGGGGGTCGAACCCAGAATCTCCTGATTCCACGGTGGATCGTAGTCAGACGCCTTGCCATTGGGCCAACCGGCCATCATCCGAAAGGACTCGATGTTGAGTTGTTGCGACAGGCCCACAACAGCTCTCAAGATCGTCAACGGAGAAGTTGCCGAGCTGTCCAAAGTCTTTGTCATCGCCGGAGTTGTTGATGTTCAACTCAATTGTAGCCAGCGAACTTTAACTTTCGTACCTTTTCATCCGACTTTTGCCTTCGACGACAACCAGGGATAGCCCTCTGTCTGTTGTCACAGGTAGAGTGCTCGACTCACGGAATGTGGCGGACGATGTCAAGTGCGGAACCCGAAGGCTACCACATTCGAACATCAAGTCGAAATCAACTGCCTAAAAGAGCTCGAAATCTCCGCATCATATACAGAAAATGGTCCCCATGTTCACGTTTATGCCTTTTTGCTGGTAGCGATCCTGAGCCTTATCGGCACGACCATCCGAAAGTTTTAAGGCGTTTTGAGCCGCCGAGATTTCTTGCGAATTGGACCCCAGGTGACTTAGCTTATGGAGCAAGTCCGACCCTCAAGACAACCTCTTCAATGGCCAATATAAGATGTTGGTAACCATCCATCGGCCGGTTGCCCAAGTTGGGAGAGGTTGCATGACGGCTTGATATGAAGTGGCACGGGACTCTGGGAATACTACCGGCTTGAGTCTGACAACTAGATGTGGGAAAAGATCGGCAAAAGCCTCTTTACACACATGTAACACTAATCTATCAAGACTCTCCACAGGTCCGATGCGGAGGAGACAACAACAAATGGCTCACGATAGAAGATGGCTGACCGCTTGTTTGAGCCATCAGAGGTAAGCACGCCTTTTGTCGGGGTTGGGACGCTGCCCGCTCTGTGCTGAAATTTGCAGCGGACTGGTCACAACTATTGGTCGCGTTTAATATCTGAAGTCTGTTACTCGAAGTTGCATCATCAGCTTCTGTCCTCTGAAACTCAACCGAACTCTCTTCGTTTCGGTGATACGAAATTGATTTGCTCCTTGAAGTCAACAGGAAGCAGATGACCGCCAAAAGCCCTGAAAATCCCGATGACACAACTTATTCTTCTCCTGTAACCTGCCCTGTTTTCTTAGGATAGAAGCGACAACGAATTGGGACTTGTGTCGAGTTTTGTTTGAACACAGGTTACTGGGCAGATTCATCGACATTGGCGCCGCAGAAACGTCTCCGTGGTCGGATTATCTGCTCAGACTCTTGAAAGGTCAACTCATAGATATATTGAATGGTAAAAAGATGTGGCAATACTTGCCCCTCTAGAGGAATCCGTTTGGTCCCAATAGAATAAGTTGACCTCGAAATCATTTGTTGATCATTCCCTGGTGTCGTTCAGAGATTCAGAGGTGGCGTCCATCCTAGTATCTTGACAGTGCCTATCTGTGAACCTTTTCTTACATTGCAGTCTTTGTGGTCACATATTGGATGACTTGTTCGAAAATGCATTTTTTTAATAATGATAATGGCGGGTTAAAGTCTTACTAGTTTTATCAAGAAGTCTCCCAAGGTTTGAAGTAGCGCATTTGTAGTTACATATTATTCGTTGGAGAAACATTGACAAAGAATTCGAAAGACATCTTTAAAACAGAAATTCGTTACCACGACCCGCTAAATAGAAAGACGACGGCTGATTTTCAAGCTTACACAAGACGGCCATCCCATTAGTCTCCTCAAGTCCGTCACTATACACTTACGCCTTATGAATCAAACAATGTTGTACGGTTCTGTAATTATCAATTTCGGAATAATGAACTAAGGTATTTTAAACTCGAAGTTGCAAAAACGAAAAGAAATATTCATTTCCATCCGCGGTTGTTTCTTCTCCTCCTGTTTGGATACAAAATTTTGGCAATGGCGGAAAAAGTGATGAACCAAAGAACGTAACGCACGATTCGCTGCCCCGGGAATGAGACCTCGCCCGGATCTGACGTGGCCGTCGCACCGGGGAGTCTCGGCGATTCTGGTACGGGGCATGTCGGCCGTTGCCGGATGGATCCACGCCTGAGGGGTAGCTCCACCGCCGTTGAAACCAGTCGCGCCCGGCCAAGAGCAAACATGGACCGAACACGCTCACCATCGCATCGACATTCTCATTGACCGGCGTTCCCTTCTCGAGGTTTTGCTAAGCCTGGACCAGGTCCTTCAGGCGAATCAGCGTGCAGCCTTTCTAGTCATTCAAATGGGACACGGGTACCCCACCCCAGATGCCTCCAGGACGCCCCAAATTCGACCTTGAACCCTTCAAGGGCGAGATCACTGAGGCCTGGAACCGTCGCGAGACGAACGAGAGCATCATCAAGTCTCTTGCCGCGAAGGGTGTGGAAGTGAACCAGAAAACGTTCCAGAGGCGGCTGCGCGAATGGGGTCTCTACAGATATAATAACAAGGGCGCAGGAAAGGTGCGAACCTCTGGTGCGCGCAAAGTCGCGACACCAACAAGCGCACACGCACGACCGCCGGTGGTGAGGACACCCGCCGAGGTGCAGCGCGGCGCGCAGGAGGAGATCCCGGACTCGGTACGTGTTTGGCGGCGCGCTTTCCTTGATGCGGTAATTGTAACAGTTGGAAGAAATGGCCCGGATTCTGGGACACCAAGTGGGCTTTTGCATCAGCGGAGGGGGGGCGAACCACATCACATCTTGGGCGACGGTGGGGATGTTAAATACGTCCGTCGCCGCCGTGACGAGGAGGAGAAGACTGACTGAGAAGACAGATACAAGACGACTCACCTTCTTCCTCGACTCCAGGTATCTCCGTGGAATCATCGCCCGAAAGAAGTGAACTCGCTTCCAATTCGTACACACTCCGAGCGAGCACCCAAGCGCAACCGACACCGGCAAGCATGTCTCAGAAGGTCTGGACCCGTCGGAACCCCGCAGGCTTCGGCTTGGAGAAGTCCCTCGAGGCCGTCCGGAACCCCGCCGCTCCGAACCCGATTCCCTCGCCGCCGTCCGATGTAAGTGGCGCTCCGAACCTATTCTCATTCATTATTTAAGCTTCTCCTGTATCCATGCTTGATCCCGGATTTCATCATTTTGACTTCATCCCACCCACTGCCATCCTTAACTGTCACCTTCACCCTTTGTATTGTTTCTTCCCACTTTATCAACCCCGTGCCCATAATGATC